AAAAAAAAAAAAAAAACTTAGCCTAACCCTGAGTTGAGTTGCGTCTTCTCTGCTGGCCGTTGTCGTGGTATGCCAGGCACGCAATACTAGCGACAGCGTATACGAGGCACCCCATCAGGCCGTCAAGCATCATCAGGCTCCCAGACGCAAGACATGGGCGCGACGTGACGTATGGCCGCGCATTCGGACGCAGCCACAGCAATCGAACGAACAAAGAAGAATGGATGGGTGGGTGGATGATGATTTGCATAAGTTTGGCGTTGAAGGTTGCCGTGTCAGCCGAAGCGGGCGCTAGGCCCGATGCAGTGCGGGGTTATGTCGTGGGTTTGGGAACGACATCTTGATTTGACTGCATAAATCACTGCACCTCGACACCATCGCTACGCATTCCCGCTCCCAAATCATCCGCCACGAGTCCGATCACTGGCGCATCTATGGATGGAAGCGCATTGTACCATGTCCAACCGTAGACGAACATGCCGCCCGCCATGCCGATGAAGGTCGCCACAATGCTGATGTATATTTGATAACCGCGCCTCTGGGATGCGTGTGCCAGGTACCTATTCCCTTGTCCGCGCCGCAGAGTCAACCCTAGTATACCCAGCCAACCTGTCACCCCGCCTAGCTAAGTGGCTCCACGCGCAACCCTGTGCACACACCGCCTACCACAACCACATCGATTCATCGAGCAATCAATCGAACGTCGTGGCTCTACCTTTCGCAAATCGCGCTTGTTTGTCCAGCCGTCTGTCCATCCAGGCAGGCAGAGAGCCACACACTGCATAAGGGCCATGCATGCCGAACTCACTAGGTACTCACTCATGAGTCGTTGAGGTAGGTTCGGTTTTTTCCTGGCCGTTCGCGGTGGTGATTAAGATGTTTTGTTTTGTGGGGCTTTGTTGTTCTTTGACTTGATGCATGCGACGGGCGCCTGAACTGTCACTGAGCGGTAAGTTCAAAAAGCGAGGGATTGATTACTAGCTAAGTGGGTAGGTAGGTAGGTAGGTAGGTGTTTCAGCCGCAACTAAATCAAATAGTCCTCCGCCGCGCGCCTTTGCTGCCGCCTCCGCACCTGCTCCTCAATGCAATCGGCAACACTCTTATCAAGCTGGACGACATGCCTCGCCAAGAAAAAATTAACCACAAGGCTCACAAGCGCAACGACGGGCGAGACCAAGCAGTACCAATACCACGCCCACTTAAGGAACCGCACGAACTGGTCGAAGGCGCTCCGCGCCCACGCCCAGGCCGCCGCTTTGGCCCTCTCGTACGCCGCAACGACCTCGGGGTTCCGGGCCGTGTACCAGTTGAGGCCGTGGTACGCGGCGACGAAGGCCGCGCTAAGCGACCACAGCGGATGCGCGGCGATGGCGTCGCGGACGGAGTCGTACACGTCGAGGAAGATGTCTCTGAGCGCGAAGGCGATGGCGACGAGCAAGTCGACGATGGGGAAGAAGTTGGACAGCGCGAACAGGGCGCCGCTGATGGCAAGGACGGCCGCCCCGATCGTGTAGAGCACGCCTTCTCGCCCGAAGAGGAAGTCGGACGTCGGGAGCTGGCTGCGCAGCCGGGTGCTTGCGGCGCCGATGTCGACATTTCGGAAGAGCAGGACCAGCCCCATGCCGCTGCCGAGGACGGCCAGCGCTTGCAGGACCAGGATCCCCATGTCGTAGGTGAAGGCGGCGCGCAGGCTCGACACGTCGTAGTCGTACTGGGACCAGGAATCGGGGACGCGGAACGGCGCCATCTTGATCTTGATCCTGCGCGGCGCATCCCAGCTGGGCACGGACGGCACGGCGGTGAAGGGGTTGAAGAAGTGCAGCAGCAGCAGGACGAGCGCGACGACTGTGCCCCACGACTTCAGCAGCGCGTACAAGAACGTGTAGGGCCCGTACAGCCGGCCTCGGAGGCCAGTCAGAGCGTCGCGGACAGAGAACCTGAGGTAAGTGACTAAGACGTAAGCGACGCCCAAGATGCTGAGCAGGCTCAGCAGCGGGTAGCCAATCGCCAGGATCGCGTTCTTGATCTCGTACTCGGCTTCGAGGTCCGCGTACGCGCCGTGCGTGTTGTGCAACGCGTATCTGATCGCGCTCGGGGCGGCGCGGACGGCCTTGGCCGTCAAGGCCGAATACGTGGCTGCGATGACGGCGCCGATCCCGATCAGGTACAACGTGCCCATGAACAAGATGCCTATGAACGGCCCCACGAAGGCGACGGCTACAGGGCCGTACGGCCCGTCTGTGAGCAGTTTCAGCACTTCGATGACGTCGACGCTGGTCTCGTAGGCGCCGACTACGCGGTTTGAGACACCTTGGACGAGGGCGCCCGGACCGGCCTTGAGCGTCTGGAAGGCGGACAATAGAAACTTCCAGATCGGGCTGAGCAGGCAGAGCAAGATGTCCAGGAGGGGGTCCAGTCTCTCAAGGCCGGAAAAAAAAACATAGCGGAAAATGTCGAAACAGCAAACTGTCCTTGTTAGCATCTCCCTTTAATCGCAGCACCATCGCCAGCACCAGCACCAGCACCAGCATCAGCAAGCTTACTTCGTTTTTGCGGCTCGAGATACCCTTTCTCCCTTGCGTACTGAATGAGGTCGCGGCACTGCGCGGGCGTCAAATTATGGATGCTAAACACCCTAACCTTATGGAACGGCTTGAAGAGCCCGCCTCGTCTTTCCACGGGCACGAAGATGTTCTGCCTGGTCGTGTAGATCCCGAAGGGGATGGCGTTTCGCTGCGGCCCGTCGAACCAGGACGCGCCGGACGTGTGCGAGCCCGCTACCGAGGGGCTGCGCGGGGGCTGCGGCGGTGGCGGCTGCGATCCTGTACCAGCAGAGGGGTTGGGCGCAGAGGGTTGTGCTGCGGTGGCGACGGCTGGGGTTGGGTTGGGGGCTGTGGGGTGCGCTTCTGTGGTTATGGATGGGTTGCGGGTTTCTGGACGAGCTACTGCTGCGGCGGCTGCGTCGCGGTTGCTGGGACAAGTCTCAGCGGTCACGGGCGCGGTGCGGTAGCCTGCGTAAGCTTCGGCGGGGGCCTTCTGTGGCTGCGCCTTAGACAGTGAAGGGCTAAAGGCGTGTGAGGCAGCAGTAACAGATGGCTTGTCATCGGGACGAGCCGCAGGGAAGGCTTTTCTTGACTGCTCTTTAAACCACGAGGCTGCCGAAGTGCGCGTAGGTGGGCTAGGGGCATCGGTACGAGCTCTGGCGGGGGTCTCTTCTGGCTGCTCCTCAGGCAATGAAGGTCGTGAGGTGCGTGAGGCAGTGAGAGGTGAGTTGGCGTCAGCAGCACGAGCCTCAGCGACGGCTGGTTTGGGCTGCTCCTTAGTCCGCGGGGACTCTGCCGTGTTTACAGCAGCAGTAGCTGGGCTACTAGCTGCGGCAGGAGCCTCGGGAGAAACGGTTTTCGGCTGCCGCTCAAACCGGCGGGACGTCGAAGCGCGCGGACTAGCGACCGGGCTGCGGTCACTGGCCAGAGCGTCGTCGAAGGCTTTCTCGATCTGCTCCCTGACCCCTGAGGACCCTGAGGTGGCTGATCCTGACGCAGTCGAGGCAGACGTAGTCGAAGCAGAAGTCGGTGAGCTGCGCCTGGAGGAACGGTCTTCGGCCTTGGTCGAAGCTAGTTTGGGGATGCTTGGAGCAGTGCGACGCGACCAGGAAGGCGTCGACGAGGATCCGAACACGGCGTCGGTGTTTTGGGCGGCTGCAAGCGCTGGTGCGGCGGCTGGAGCGGGTGCGGGTGCGGCGGCTCGAGCTGTTGCGCTGCCGAAAGCTGGCTGCGCGGCGAAAGCGGGTTGGGCGGCGTAGGCCGGTTGGGCGGTATAAGACGGCTCCTCCTCCTCCTCCTCCTCTTCCTCATAGCTGGGGTTGGCAAAGGAATTGTAAGCCATGATGCGCGTCTCTGAGAAGTGGGCTCAGCAGGGGGAAAGGTGAAAAAGAGAAGCAAGTAAACAGGAGGATTAAGAGTTAAAGCAGCCGGACGAGCAGCTGCGTTCGTTGCTCTGCACAATGAAAGAGGGTTTCCATTGTTCTCGAGAACAACAGTTGAGCGTTCGATGCTGGTCCCGGTAAAATATTTATCGAGGGGGCAAAGAGACGGACGCAAACAGCCAGTATAATCGCGAGCATAACGAGGTGCCATTGTTCGGGTGGCGTCTTCGTTTTCGCTCTCTTGCCATTTCAGCACGACACAGCAACACAAAGAGCCTCGTTCCCGACCACCAACAAAACAAGCAATTCGGCATATCTTATCTGCAACCCCGCTATCTAACTACGAAAAGGTCTTCATGTACCTCGTCTGTTTCTGGAAGGTTGGAGTGGCCAGCCGCGGCCTGGAAGTAACAACCCGGGACTCAGCCATGCCCAAACGAATAAACGTAAGCACCAAGAAAAAAAACGCCGAGAAGACAAAGACGTACGCCCAAAACGCGACGAGCGCACGCAACCTCCCCCAGTTCCGCATCCTTTGTTCGCGGGCTACGATTTTCCTGACCAGTTTCGCGGGCCTGAGCTCCATCCGCTCCTGCAGCCACTCGTCCTGCCAATACGTCAGATTGTGCGCGTCTTGGAGCCAGCGATCCGCCAGCGCGTGCACGAACGACTCGGCGGGCATGATCTCGTTCTGGACCAGGCGCGCGAGCGCCGCTGGGCGAGACATCGCCCGGGAATTGTGCAGGTCCTGGCAACGCGCTGCCACTTTGCCCAGGACGGGGTCGTGCTCGTGCGCGCGCTCCGGTCCTTTGTTTTCGAGCGCTGCTTGGGTCGCGGTCGTGGCGTCCACCGCGATGCTCAGGTGCGCTGTTGCGGCGGAGAGATGCGCGTTGGCGTCGGCGGTTACGAGGGACAGATGCATGTAGAATTCATTGATTGTTAGCGGTGAGGAGGGAATCCAAAACTCCACCCAGGTGTACGGCAGAACCGTCTGAGCTAGCCCCCGTATGGTCACTTCGAGGGGGTAGGTGATGCTCTCGTAGAGGATTCCGGGCATTGCTTTAACTCCGCCGAAATTGGTCTTTTTGTCGTAGAGCTCGACGATCGTTTTTAGCTCGGCCTGCGCGAGCTGGAGGATTTCCAGCATTCTTGACGTCATGAGGTCCTGTTGATGCCAGAACGCACAGGCCTCTTCCCAGCTCTTCAGGCTGTGTAGCCGCGACAAGTCACCCAGCGACGCGGCCTTGATGACATGGCGTAGATTCCACCACACGGAGACCGAGCCAGTCTCGGCACTCGCAAGCCGTCTAAGGGACGCAAGTCGCTGTGCCGTATGGTCCCTCGCCAAAGCCATCAGCTCCGAATCTAGTTCCGCGAGCTTCGGCAGCGCGTCCTCGATCTGATCGCGCACCTTGCCGAGCGATGCCGCCTTTCGGAACCGAATATCCTTGGCAAAATTGATGTAGAAGTCTAGTGAATTGAGCGCTTTCAGAGTGGATTTTATCGGGGCTTCGAGGCGGCTTGCATCGTTGGTGTACTGTTTATCGGCGTTGGAAATTGCAGTGCGCTTTATGATCGCCGCTGCGCCAGATGACCAAAATGGGGAATAGGGATCAAACATGATCCAGGCGAGGAAAGGAACATAGCATAAGAGATAGGTTATTATAACTACAAGGAATGGATGGCGGGCGTGGTTGGTATTTGTGTGAGGATTTATGATATTTCTCATAGCTCTTTTTACGATATGAGGCAGTGGGGAGAAACTGGAATAGAGTATCTTAGACAAACATGCATGCAAAAGGTAAACTAAGGCGGGGTAGCAAGTGGTTTCGGAAAGCCAAGAAGTGACAAAATGCATTTTGTTTGTCCATTGTCCTCGCTGCCGCAAACAGTCATCATGCCCACACGTCTCTTGAAGTTATGTTGACGTGCTGTTTAACTCCCATGAAAAGGAAAGATATTCCCCAGTACTTGGTCATCGCTATGCCCTGGAAAGCTCCTGTCGAAAATCTCTAAATCTCAAAATACCAAAAGAAGCGCAGAGCGGGCCTTCTGAACAAGATACACGAAAATGGGAGGATGGGAAATGAAGGGTTATGCGGAAGGATATGTGGAAGAAGAAGAAGTAGGAATACAAAGAGGTTATGTTACCAATACAAATCCATGTACGAATCCCAAGCCTTGTATCTTCTCCTTCTATGGTTTCCATTTGAGCCCAAAACCTGATCATATTGTGTGACCATCAGTTAACAATCTTGATAGTTATCAATGCAGTCAGGCTATACCAACCTTGGGTAGCCCTTGGCATTTTCTTTTACTTGGTCACGCATCAGTTACTCAAGGGCTTCGTTCTCTCATTGTACTTGCGCGTGAGCCCTCCCTAGGGCTTGTCCGCAATATCCTCGCTCGATGATCAGATATCAAAAAGGTGGCCCTGATTCGGAAGGACATTACGCAAATACCGTAGTTATTTACTTCCAATCGATACATATCACATCTTGCGAATCGCATCCATGACCAACGGCTTCGAAGCATTATGTGATGTCTTATTGTGAAGCTGGGCGCGAGGAATTAGACGCCGCTTGTCCTCCTAAATTACTACTACCTATGGAGGTATATATGCTGCTATCTAAAAGAA